GTCATCCTGGTCCCCCACAATGGAGATCCCATTCTGGGGAGGCCATCAGGTCCATGTTTGCTTCCAACCAGCAGAACCTGGATGCGGGAACTTGGATCTGGGGCGTTACCGGTTACCACCTACCTGCACTCAACCCTGGCCACGCAGCCTACCCATCGTGTGCCTGGTTTATCACTTATGTCTCTGAGGCGCATGCCCCCTCTCCCACACGCGCATGCCCCCCCATGCACACATGCACACACATACGCGTACACATGCACAACCCTCTCATACATGTGTGTGCACATCCACACCCTCCTCACACACATGCGGACCATCTCACACACATGAACATATCCATACATATGTGCACACACACATCCTCTCACACATGCACACATGCATGCACACTCACTCCCTGCCCCCTCCCACAAGCATATTCTCATCCTGGCACCACCTCTCTTTCTCTTGACCCACTGGAACCTGCCTGCAGACTTGGACTCTGCTTGCCCCTCCCTGATCTTTGGCACACAGTGACCCTGCATCACCTGCCCGAGGACTGATGTGCCCATCGACAGAGGTAATGGGCTGTGGGCCTACCAGCTGTCACATGGGGGCACCAGTGAGGGGGGTCTGTGGTTAATGAATAGACTCCACACACATCTCTGCTGACTCTGTGGAACCAAGGAAGGTCAGACGGGTGGCCTAAGTCAGAGTCGGGGGACAGGATCAGAGTCAGGGTTCTGGGAATCATTAGTACCCCATTTTGTCTTCAGCACAAATCTGTGCTGCCAGTGGGTTTTTGAAGTTGCATTGCTGAGCAAGAACTTGGCCAGCACAGCCTCTAGCTGGGGACCTCCAGGAGGAGAAATTGTTGCCAGGTAGGAGCTCGACTTTCACTCCTGGCTCAGGAAAGTGGAGCAGAGGCCATGAGACACAGCCTCAACAATGACGGAGTCTGAAATGAGATTCACCACAGTGGTTGCTTTAGGATTCTCTGCTATGCAATGGTTACATTACCATCTGACTTCGTGATGGCAGTGTCCTGCTACCCCGGGTAGTCTGGTATCTAGGAGTTGGGGTGAATTAGGAGTAAGATCCTGATCACCTGGAGGGATACTGCGGCATCATGAGTGCTTTTCACCAAAGCACATGGTAGAGTTTCATTTCCTATCTCTGCTGTTCTTGCTGGGGGCAGTCCCTGTGACATTTTCTGGCCAATAAGTTCTAAGTGGAAACAGCAGGTATCACGTCTAAATTGGGTACTTCGGGCAGCCCCGGTGGCGCAGCGGTTTAGCGCCGCCTGCAGCCCAGGGCGTGATCCTGGAGACCCTGGATCGGGTCCCACGTCGGGCTCTCTGCATGGGGCCTGCTTCTCCCTCTGCCTGTGTCTCTGCCTCTCATTCTCTCTGTGTGTGTCTCTATGAATAAATAAATAAAATCTTAAAAAAATAATAATAAATTGGGTACTTCATGGCTCCCCCCACCCTCTGGCACCGCCATGGGGACATTCCCACTGCTCTCTGAAGGCTGGTCCCAGAGTGACTGGTCAGGGATCCGTGGCCTTACATTGTTTAAGTGTTTGAGACTTGCAGCCTGCTTGTTCCTGCAGCATAATCTGGCCTATCCTAACTGATGTGCTCCATGGTAGACATGGCCTGCCACATGCACAGGATGAATCGTGAAAAAGAAATGCTTTTCTTTCCATGCTGTAGGAGGGAATCACTGTAGGTTCTGCCAAATTTCAGCTTTTGGTCCAGTTTGGGGCCCAACTCGTGGTCCAACTCAGAGTGTCGTCTCAAGGCCGGACTCCCAGCAGAGCATGACTTTAACATGAAAGAGCCTGGCATTTCCCTTAACTGGCATCTCTTTACAGTGCACTGCCCCATCATCTGTGCCAACACAGTGTCTCCGCCTCAAGATTTTAACCACTTGACTCCCCCAGGATGACTTCCCACGTGATACTTGCAACACCAGGCTGGTCCTACACCAACAAAACAGCACTCAGGACCTCACACCTGCTCAGGGCTTCCAAAGAGCCGGCTACCTATCAGAGGGTCCCCCGGGGGCTGGGGCTTTGTGGTGGTAGAAGGGGTGTGTATGTGCTCTGTGTGTTCCCAAGCACCGATGCCCACAGTGGGGTTGCTTCTCCACCCATGAGCCCTGCCTCCCACCCACAAGTATTGTGGCATGCCTCACAGTGAATATCAGTGTAGTTGAAAATCAAACAAATACCAATTTGCTGAACTATCAGACGTATTCCCTCCCTGCAGAGTGCCCTACATTTTCAAAGTGCTTATATCTTGAATGAAATATTTAGCCAAACATTGATGCATATTTGGATGTATTGTTTCCTGCTAAACTTCAGGATGCAGTACAATGTACTTACATGAACAAAATAGTGTTTTCTCCCGCAAAACCACTTTAACATCAATTTCAATAAACGTATAATGAAAAGTGCTTGATTTTTTTCTTGGGTGACGGTAGTTAATAAATCTGATTCTGGAGCCAAATTGTCTGAGCTTGAATCTCAGATCCATGCTTTGCCATCAGTATGAACTTGGGCATGGCATTGGCCCTCTTGGTGACTCAGTTTCCACTTTTTTTTTAATTTTATTTATTTATTATTTATTTATTTATTTATTTATTTATTTATGATAGTCACAGAGAGAGAGAGAGAGGCAGAGACACAGGCAGAGGGAGAAGCAGGCTCCATGCACCGGGAGCCCGATATGGGACTCGATCCCGGGTCTCCAGGATCGCGCCCTGGGCCAAAGACAGGCGCCAAACCGCTGCGCCACTCAGGGATCCCTCAGTTTCCACTTTTATAAAATTAGATGATACCAGCTTTCATGGCAAATGTGGCTACTGTCAGTCTTACTCTGTTAACAGCCACAGAGGACTCACACTGGTATCTGGCTAAATCTTATCGCTGTGTGTGTTAGCTCTTTGTATTTTTATTCTAGAAGCTATCCTTGTGAAATTGGGAAGCATCCTACAACTTGGCATTTTGTAAACAGAAAAATGCAGTATTTCCTAAGAAGGGGCATGGGATTGGCTGTTTATCAAAAACAGACCAGTGTTCATCAAACCTGCTGCATTGTAAGAGTCTCCTGATGATTAAAAACAGAATTCCCAGGCTCCTCTCAAAACAAGTGATTTACACGGCAAACAGGTCATAAGGCCCAGTGGCTGTCTCCTTCCTGGTGGGGGTCCTCTGACTTTCTTGAGACAAACGTCCCAAGAAAGAAGAGAAAGTTTTGATGAGGACGAGAAATGGGTGTTTTTAGCTCTCCCCAGAATCCACCAGGAGGCACAAAATGTCCAAGCTGGGTAGTCTGGCCTGCTGGAGGTCACGAAATGTGTGTTGGAGAAGAGAGTGCTGGACCAAGAGCCGGAGGACCCTAATGTCCCCCTGACACACAGGTATGGGACACGCACACACAGACACAGACTCACACAAATAAGCACACACAGGTACACACAGACACACACGGGTACCCTCAGGTACACACAAACACACGGACACACAAGGACACACACACATGCACACACACGTAGCCAGAACTCCCTGAAGCCCAACATCCTTGTCATACTCATCTCTGTATTGGGGACCCGGCACAAAGTCAGCTCAATGAATGCTCTATCACTTATTCACTCAACAAATATTTACCAGGCACCAGCTAAGCGTCAGACACTGTTTCAAGTGCCAGGAAGCCGCATGAAGCAGACAGGAAGCCCTAACCCGGGTGCTCACCCCGCTGTCCGCTGTCCGGGGCTGGGGCAGGTTTCCTCTCCTGACCCAGCTGTCAAGCCCCTCGTGCGCCGCGATAGGGGGCTGGGGGGGGTGGTGGTGGTGGTGCTGGGGTGGATGACCGGGTTTGCTGTCCCCTGAGGTCTGAGCACCGGATCTGGAGAACCCGAGGCCCAGGGCTCTGGGCCTCTCCGTCCAGTTGGTCGCGTGTTTCAGCCTGATGGAGGCCCCGGTCCCGCTGAATCCCGGGATCGGTCCACCGGTCCATGAGCTCAGCTCTTCCCCGCCCCCAGCTCCCCCGGGGGAAGTGGGGTGGGGGTGGGGGTGCGGGAGGTGGGGTGGGGCGGGGTGGGGTGGGGTGGGGTGGGGGGGAGGCGCGGAGTCATTCCGTTTGGCCTAAGTACTGGGGCGGCCGCCGACGCGGCTCGGACCCCGCTGCCCGCCCCCCCTTCACCGAGGCGCTCAGCCCCGCCCCTCCTCGGGCCCATTCCCGCAAACCGCACGGCCCTGCCCGGGCACTCCCCGGGGCCCCACCTGCCCGGGCCGAGTCTGGGGCCTACTCCAAGCCGAGGGAGGGTCCCGGGAAAGAGCATCCGCGCGCACCCGCCCGCCCCCTCCCTCCCGCCCCCGCGCCCGCGCCCGCGCCCGCCGCGTCCGCGCGGGCGCCCTCGGCCTGGGCCCGGGCAGCGCGCGCTGCGGCCGCGGAGCCGCCCAGACCCTGCGCCCCGCGAGGGGGAGGGGGCGGGCGCCGAGGCCCCGCGTGCCCGCGGAGGGGCGGGCGGCCGCGTCACTGCGCACCGGCGCCGCGGTGCTGGGCTGGCAGGGGCCTCCCGGCGGCCGAGCGCCCGCGCAGCCCGCGCCTCCTGGCCTCTGCCCTCGGGCCCGCCGCCGCCTCCCGGGACGGGCCGCGCCCCTCTGCCGAGGATGCCCGCTGCCCCCTGCGCGCGCCGCCCCGGGCAGCCCCAGCGCGGGGACCCCCCCCGGGCGGCGGCGGGCGCGCAGGGCCGGTGCTGAAGGGACAGCTCCCGGGCGCGGGCGCGGGCGCGGGCGCGGGCGGCGGAGCGCGCGTCCTGGGCCCGCAGCCCCCGCCCCTGCCCCGCCCGCAGCCCGCGCCCCCGCCCCGCGCCCCTGCCCCGCCCGCAGCCCGCAGCCCGCCCGCAGCCCCCGCGGCCCGCGGTCCCCGCAGCGGCGGGCCGGCGAGGCTCCTGTGGCCGCGGGGCCCACGGGGATGCCCCGCGGGTGGGGCAGCCCCCCGCTCCCAGCCGCGTTCATGGCGGTTGCCAGGAGGATCAAAACTTTGCTGACGGTCAACATCCTGGTGTTCGTGGGCATCATCCTCTTCTCCGTGTACTGCCGCCTGCAGGACCGCTCCGAGGCGCTGGGGCAGACCGTGCGCAGCCGGCACACCGAGGCGGGCGCGCTGCAGGGCCGCGAAGCCATCCTCCAGCGCCTGGACCACCTGGAGGAGGTGGTCTACAACCAGCTGAACGGTGAGCGAGCCGGGTGAGCCGGGTGAGCCGGGCGGCGCTCCCCTCGGGACAAAGGGGCTGCTGCGCAGAGGGGCTGGTGGGAGGACGGTCCCAGGTGCCGGAACACCGCCCCGTGCTCCAGCCCCGGAACCCCTGCTGACCCCAGGGCCTGATGGCCAACAACGGGGGCTGGGATTGAACTCCCGTGTTGCTCCAGGTGGAGACCGGGGAGGAGGCGGATAGGGAAGAGAAGGGTCCCCTCTAGCAGAGTGCCGGCCGGATGACCACTCACTCATTCATTCATTCATTCATTCATTCTCCGGTGGACACTTGAACCCCTCGCCCCATCACCACACATGAAATGTCTCCAACCTAGCCCCTGGGAGAACTTGAAAGAACTTCCCAAGAGGTTGTAGGACTTGCTTTAAGAGCTGGCAGTGCCCAGGCCGGAGCGTGAGGGGGTCTTTGGGGGTGCGGGTCTTGGCTTGGAGTCCTATCTCTCCTGGAGGACGTGGAAACTGGGGGGAGGGCAGTGCTGCCCCTCAGAGGTGGCCCATGCTGTGCTCTTTAATGCCGGTAGGGAAAGGGGCCTCCCTGTGACCTCTCAGCCTACCCAGCCTCCTGTCCTAGGGATACTCAGGGCTCCCTCCAGAAAGTATTGCTGTGGGATGAGTGTGAAGCCAGGAGCTGGTGACTCCTGGACAGATTGAGTTGGGTGTCCAGGAGGAGCTTGGCAGGTGTTAGCCCCACAGATGGACCCTGGGCTGTGGTCCTTGGGAGCCCACAGTCCTGGGAAGCAAGCCCAGTTTCTGGCGGGGGGCTCCCGGCTTCTTCCCTGGAGGTCTAGGCTCCCTGTAAGGGTTGGCATCGGTGTTGCTGCGGGTCGGGGCCAGTGGTGGCTGCTGGGAGGAACGGGTATTTTTCCACTGGGGATGCAGCAGATGGAAGGAAGTGCCCGCTGCACCCTGGGTTCTCCCTGTGCTGAGGTACAAGGAGGGAGAAAAGTTTGTGTGTTTACCTCATTAGTAGGTTTTTCCTTCTGTTCTGTGCTATTCTGGTTTCTGCATTGGCAGCCCCAGCAAACTTCCTCAGGAAGCGTGGGTAACTGGCTCTGGGTGGAGGCATCTGGGAGTTGGACTGCACGCTCCATCTCTGTGTAAGGGGGTCCTCTTGGGGCTCCTTCTGGGGGGTAGCAGCAGCTTGAGCCACAGAGGCTTAGGGACACCCTGGATGAGGGCACCGTCCCAGCCTCACCTGCTGTCTCCCCAGCGCCCAGAACTCCCAGTTCTCCTCCTGGGGTGGCTTTCATGAGTGAGCTCTGTGGCTTTTCTGACCTCTCCTATTCAGCCAAGGCCGCGAGGGGAGAAAAGTTTAGTCCAACTGCCGCTTGGCTGGTGTGGTGGTGTGATTCATCTCCTGCCCCGGTAATAGCACATAGTTTTATTGAAGTGTATTTGTCAAGGTGTTATGGCCTGGTTTATGGGGAGAACCGGAGGATTATATAAAATCATTGGCAGCACATCCGGTTGTGTAACATCATGACGGCCAGCTCAGCGCCGAGGGCCGCTCCTCATCTCACCCTTCAAGGTGAGAGGGAACCAGGATTCTTGGTGGAAGCGGAGGCCAGGAGTTCTGGCAGACGTTCCTGACCCTAATAGGACATAATGGAACGTTCCAGGAAAGCCAATGTCAGCCCCTTGCCCACCCAACCTTTCCCCTCCCTCCTCCCTTACCCACACCTTTTTCTCCACGTGCGTCCCTGTCTACCTCTCTGCCTCCCTCTCTGCCTTGTCCCTCTCTAGTCTCTCTGTTTCTGTCTTTGTCTCCGTCTCTGTGTATCTCTCTGTCTCTGTCTCTCTGTCTGTGTCTCTCCCTGTGTGTCTGTCTCTGTCCGTCTCCCTCCCTCCCTCCTCCTCCCCACTCCCCTCTGATGAGGGTCTTGCTGCCCACTTCTAGGCTGTGTACCCAGCATGGTGCCCCACCCAGGAGTCACTCAGTATTTGTTCCTGGAAGTGATGAGAGCTGATCTCCCCCTTGTCCGGGGTTGGTCCCTAAGGAGGGACAGCACAGGAGTGAGTTGACATTTGTTCACAAGAAGCCATTTGAAAACAGTGGGTGCAGGCTCCCCATGTGGCAGGGTGCACAGGGCAGGAGCACTCCCCAAGACTGGCCGTCCAGCTTAGAAATGATCCCTGGGAGTCTCCCCCAAACATAGAAGGGAGGGAAGACACCCACATGAAGTATCATTTACATTTCCTCGGCCTTGGGTTCTTCCTGGAAACGTCTCTCCTTGCTTATAGGAGTTGGGGGGAGGAAAGGGTGTCCAGCAGAGCGGGGCCCAGGAATAGGACGTGTTTCCCGCTCCCTTCCTTCAGCCAGTGCCCTTTGTTTGGAATGTCTGATCGGCTTCGGCAAAGACCTAGTGAATGGTGTGTGTAGATCCAAATTCACAGGACGAGGGAGAAAATATTTAAGGAAATGCGATATAGTCACATCCTGCATGTACATGAGTTTGCTTCTAAATTCAGTGCTCAAAACAATAAAAAAATGTTGACAGCCAGAAATCATCCTTCTGAATATGTTCAGTTGCACATAAAGTACAGCATCTGTGGTTGTGTGTGCGCAGCTGGGTCTCCTGGACACGTGTTTGAGAGCCTCTGGCTTGACGAGAAGCACAGGGAGGGAAGCGTCCCCACTCGGCCGCCTGGTCTGAAAGCCCTCTGCCCTCAGGGACACACACAGCCAGTGCTGGGGACCGGGACCGGATGGGCAGCAAGGACTCTCCCCTGCTCCGTGGCTTCCAGGTTCACTTCTTTCTCAGAATGAACCAAGCTGCTGCAAGGCTCTGTCCCCGTTGGTCACGGGCACTACATGGGTACAGGCAGTCACCTGCTTTTGGGCCTCAGGCCCAGTCAGGGCCCAGCCTCCCCCGCTGCAGAGGAGGAGCTGGCTGCCACCTGGTTGCCCTGCTCCTTCCGGGCCTCTGGACACGTCCCTCTGACCATTAGGGACCACGGTTCTGAACGGCACTGGGCCAGTTATGGTGAGGTTTTGGTTGTGGTTGGCTGGCTGCAGCAGAGGGAGGTACTTTCTAAATTTCAGAGCGTACGCGCATTAACTCGACCCACCCCTGCACAAACCTGTGCAGTCGGACGTCCAAGCGTGGTCTGCTATGCAGACAGCAAAGCCCAGAACCCACGGGACAGCACAGCGTGAGGAGGCTGATGAGCAAGTGAGTAACAGTCTACGTTAAAGACAGCACTTACCTTAGAAGTGGCCTGCATTTCTACTGTCGTCCAATGGTTCAGCTGAAGTGGCAGATGTCCAGGGGGTCCTACAGCATCCCGGGTTTCGCGCAGCCCCTGCCGGCCCAGCAGGCCACGTGCCCTCATCTGGGAGAGAGAGGATTTCGACTCTGCTCCCTCCGGAGCTTCACAAACCCACGTGAGACTGGTGCCATTTTTACCATATCTGTGCACGATGCCTGCCCCATTACTTTTCTGTTTCGTTCATGGCTCTAACACCAGAGTCCGAGGCCGTACCATGCATGACGTTAGTGCTCCATAAATATTTGCTGAATGAGTGGATCTTTCCCTAAACAATTCATTACTTTTGCTTAAAACGAATGTATTTAAAAAGACAGCTGCAAATCAGCACCACACCCACAAGCAGGAGGTGACCAGAGTGACGATGACAAGATGTTAGGTTTAAGTTCTGCTGTGTGGTGCCGTTGCTCCAGGGCTCTGAGCCCAAGCGCCACCACCCACCCACCCCCACCCCGCCCCGCCCCGCCCCGCTCTCTGTGAAGGAAAAGGGAGACTCCAGAGTGATAGGCACACATCGGGATTGAGTAGCAGGAAACCCACTCTCTCCTCGAGCGGATTGGGAAGTCCAGAGACTTTAAAGGGAGGAGTCGATGTAGTTCAACACCATGTCCTTCTTTCGCCGAAAATCCTGTCTGGTGCATACTGTTTGCATCTTAAAAGGATGAGTAAGTCAGCTGGTGAGAGCCTGCAGAAGAGGATGCCTGGGTCTGAGAAGAGTGCCCAAAGAATCCGGGGGGCGCCAGGGTCTGGCTGTCTCTGCCACATGCCCCTCGCCCCCACAGTGTGCCTGCCCAATGTGCCCGTCCCTGGGAGCCGGCATGCGGAGAAGGTGCTGCCGTCCCCAGAGAGGTTCCGGGCTTTTCTGTACACAGAAGCAGGTCTGTGGTGGAAATGCTCTGAGATGTTCCCCTTGCCAGGGAACGTGTTCCAGCAGAAAACTCTCCTGTTCCTCGGCGGGTCGGGGCCTCTCCAGGCGGAATTCACCGGTCCACATCCTCCAGAACCCGTGCCATGAGCCACACCATCCCGCATTGCCCATCTCAACTGGCCGCAGCTGGAGAGAAGGTGTGGGTTGTCCGCCACATCGTCGAGGTCTGGCAGGTCTGGCTTCCCAAGGGCAGCTGTGCGTACTTGGCTGGCCTTCCGCCCTGTGTCCGCATGACTCCTGCTCGGCGGTTGTTGATTTACCATTGAGAGTGAGAAATGAATCCCCACTGGAGCTGGGCCTCCTGCGGATGCAGGGCAGGGCTGCGGGGCCGCGGCGGGACTGTCTTCCCCACCCTCCCCGCAGCGCTTGAACAGTGCTGGCGGCAGCCTCCCGCACTCTGACAAGGTGGAGGGCATTTGGTGTTGCCTTTCCCCACCCTCTTTGCCTGTGCTTCCCCATCTGCCGGCCCCATCCAGTCCGGGGGCTCCTCCTGGACGCAGGGCTGCACTCCCTCCGGCAGACCCAGCCCTCGTGTTTGGGAGGGGGCACAAGGGCGCTCCAGCCCAGGATAAACACCTCTCTGGCTCTCCGGGTGGGAAGTGGACCTCACCTGGCCTGGCTCAGAGAGGAGATTTGTCTGCAGATCTGCAGCCGCACTTCTGAGGATAATCCACGCAGGCAGCGATCCACCTCGAAGGGGCGAAGGGCGGGCTGAGTGATTGCATTTACGATTCAGCTCCGCAATCTGCATATTTCAAAGCCCCAAC